ACAACTGCCTATATTCTCCCTCATTCCGAGCCTTTTATCCTTCAAGAATATTAGTTTCCGGTATCAATTAAAATAAAATTAACCCCCATTTATTAAAATAACAGTTAACTCAAGGTAGCATTAAATTATTTGAAATTATAAAAGGTAAATGCACCGTTTAGCCAACTACCGGTACGTTGAATTTGAACATGCGTTCACGCGCGCCAGTTTTTACCAACTGCGACTTTGGTTCTCCAGCGACCAGTTATGCGGCGTGCCAGTCGCCTACCAGCTGAAGATTACGGGTCGGAGCGAGAAATAGTCGTTGATCAGCTCTCATCGCCGTAATCTTGCCGAGACGAATTGCGGAGAGAAGACGCCGAGAGGAACATCTCGTGGGCCCATCAACGGAGAAAAATGGTAAGAAATCACTCCATTACCGAGTGCACACTCCCGGAAAGGGCGTAGTGCACCCATTCCACTGAAAATACGGGACATCCACGGGAGTAAAATGCACATAGCTCTTCCAGGGCGAATGACGCAATCGTGCCCTCTCCAACGGCGACAGGGAATCGTCGAACAATTAATGCACCACTCGAGTGCATAATTGGTTCACGAATATTCTCCAGTGGTGTGGCGAGTGTATCGTGTTAATTAATTGAAGAACTGTGTTAGTTTGGTTAATAAAATATGGGTTATGGTGCACCCATACCCTCCACGTGATGTGGACAAAGCAGTGGTGATGCATTTATGGTATTTCATTATTCGAGCGGAATGTTGCCTCCCCTGAGAGCACTTTCGGCTCGGTAAACCTTTCCCATCATTTTATTTAAATAATTTAAGCTTTTTCGTGGGGTAGAAGCTCGTGAGCCCCGCTATTCAAGGTGATGCTACGACGCTGGGACGTGAGGTTAACCTTGAGGATAGGAAATGAGAGCACCTCGGAAGTGCTACTTCCCTTCCCTAGAGTTTCCTCCGTCGTAGGATATTCGCGTTGGTCAGGTATTCGTCGATTTCTCGTCCTGGGCGGGTCCGAAAACGTGTAGTTCCTAATGCACGTCGATTTGGGATAGTGCAGAGCAACAATATGCACGTGAGTTAATTTTCCCTACCCCGCGCCTTCGCGTAGGTCTCCGTCAAGGTAACTATCATTATATTTTACTGAAAAGAATTATTATTATTTCAAATAATTGATTTTTCAATTTTATAACTATAACATTTTATTATTATTATTATCATTATTATTCTTATTATTACAGGTATATATATATACTACTGTATATCGCCACCGTCCAAAAAACCAAACCTAGGGTTTGGGTGAGGGTAACCTATTCTATCTACCCTCACCCTCGGTAACTGAATTTTGTTAAATGAAAATTAGAATTTTTGAGATTGTATTAGAATCATGTGGGTAAATTAAATGCCAGATATTTTTCTCATTTAATCTTAAAAGTCTCTCTATCCGTTGAATTCCGCAATTTTCTAAAAAATTAAGGGAATTTTGATTCGATTTTTTCTGATTGTATTTCTCGTTGTTTTGTTATATTTGCGACCCCTTTCTTAAGACCGGGCGACCGAATCCACCCCGCTCTCCGAATTTTCTCCCGAGTTAAGTAGGCATAATTCCGCAATCTCTCCCTCTCATTTTTCCCACCCTCCAGTTATATATTTTTGGTTTTTCTCTTTTCGTTCATTACGGTTACGGTTGCGGTTTCGTTGATTCCGCGTTGTCAAAAATCGACTGGCGCCCAACGACAGTTTCCCATAAGAGTAGCTGGCAGTTTTACGGTTTTGGTTTTGGAGGATTTTGGGGAAGCTGGAGCGGGAAAGGCCGCAGGTGACAAACTCCGGCTGTCTTCGTACAAGGATTTTCGTTGCGGATGGAGGACTTTCGATTTTGTTTGGTTCATTAGGAAATCGCCGTCACAAATTATTTTCAAATTTCGTTTAGAGTCCTGAATAGCCCGTCACCTAGACTCCTGGAACAAAATTATACTTCATCTAATTTCAGGGTGGGTCAATGACCTCGGATATTGAGGGCATGTGATGGCTTCGAGTAACTCAATTAATGATTTTCTCAAGGAGTTCCATATAACCCGGCTTTTTTGTCATGAAATAAATACACATGGCACCAACAGTACTTGGCATTGATCGTGAGTCCTCAAGAGGGAGATCACGGCGAATGTCGGTTAACCAGATGTTTCGAGTTCCATATAGCCCGCCTTGAATTGTAATGAGGAAAAATGAACGTACAACGGGATTTTATCGTGATAGTGATGCTGGTCACTATGATTCCCCGATTCTAATTTTCTAAAGAGCGCATTCAGTCATATTTGAATTTTGTTTAAAGTTCTGACTAGCCCATCTCCTGGGCTACTGGAGAAAAAATTATGTATCATTTAATTTCAGAGTAGGTCAAGGACCCCGGATATAGAGAGCATGTGATTGCTTTGAGTGACTCAATTGATGATTTTCTCGAAGAATTCCATATAACCCGGCATTTTTACGATGAAATGAATATACATGGCACCAATAGCACTTCGCATTGATCGTTAGTCCTGGAGAGGAGATCACGGCGAATGTCGGTCAACCAGATGGATATGCATTGATTATTCAATTTTTTGTTCCGAGTTCCATATAGCTCGCCTTAAATGGTCATGAAGAAAAATGAAAGTACAGCGAGACTTCATCGCGTTAGTGATGCTGATCACTATTTTTCCCAGAATCAAATTTTCCAAAGAGTTCCTTCAATTATTTTCGAATTTTGTTTAGTGTTCTGAATAGCCCGTCACCTGGACTACTGGAAAAAAATTATAAATCATTAAATTCCAGCCTAAGTCAATGATCTCGGATATTGAGGACATGTGATGGCTCTGAGCGACTCATTTAATAATTTTCTCAAGGAGTTCCATATAACCCGGCATTTTTTATGATTACATAAATAAACATAGCATCGATAGTACTTGGCATTTATTGTGAGTCCTGGAAGGGGGATCGCGGTTAATGTCGGTTAACCAGATGGGCGGTCATTATTTCATTCTTTTCTTCGAGTTCCATATAGCCCGCCTTGAATGGTAATGAGAAAAAATGAAAGTACAATGAGATTTCATCGCTTCAGTAATGCTGAACACTATTTTTCGCCGAATCAAATTTTCCGAAGAGTTTATTTAATTATTTTAGAATTTTGTTTAGAGTTCTGAATAGCCCGTCACTTGGACTACTGGAAAAAAATTATACATTATTAAATTTCAGCGTAGGTCAATGATCTCGGATATTGAGGGCATGAGATAGCCCCGAGTGACTGAATTAATAATTTTCTCAAGGAGTTCCATATAACCCGGCATTTTTTATGATTAAATAAATAAACATGGCACCAATAGTACTTGGCATTGATTGTAAGTCCTGGAAGGCGAGATCACGGCGAATGTCAGTTAACCAAATGGATATGCGTTGATTATCCAATTTTTTGTTTCGAGTTCCATATAGCCCGTCTTGAATGGTAATGAGGAAAAATAAAAGTACAACGAGATTTCCTCGCTTTAGTGATGCTGATCACTATTTTTCGCCGCATTAAATTTTCCAAAGTGTTCATTCAGTTATTTTCGTATTTTGTTTAGAGTTTTGAATAGCCCGTCACCTATCCTACTAAAGAAAAATAATATCTCATGTGCAGGTCAATGACCTCGATTATTCATCGGCGTATATTGTCTATACCATTGAAACCACAATAGTACATTAGAGTACAAGGGCACAAATTTCGTTTTCGACGAATGTGAAGTTTACAGGCCGAGCCGAAGGCGAGGTCTGTATTCACATTCGTTGAAAACGAAGTTTATGCCCGAGTGGTCTATACTATTTTATGCCACATCGTGCTTCAAACTCGACTTATTGTACGGCGTGCCATAAATTATTTGATTACACCAGAAAAAAGCCATTAGCCTATAATTCAGAGCAAAAAAAATGGCGGATTTCCAACATTGCGCAGCTAACTTGACGGGGGCATAAAAATCCCCAGCATCGATTTTTTTGACCTCCTAATTTGGCGTGGATCTGCTTTTATTTGGAATAGTACTCTTTCATTGAATAGAATATTTACATCGTCCGAACGAGTCAATTTTTTAATAACAGACATATTTGATAAATAATTGGTTACGAAGAAATAATTGCGTAACGGAATTCAAGCCATAAGAGAGATAAAGTGAATATCACGTGACACATATTTATCTTTCCCGTGTCATGTTCATTCAAATAGTGAAATCAAATGGACAATATTGATTTATTTTTCTTTCAGAAGTGAAAATAAATGGGTAAAGTATGTTTAGTTGTCCAAAATAATATATTTGGTATAATTATTCGAACTGTATTGCATCATAAGATTCCATTTGGAATACTATTTCCATTAGATCTCTACGAAACCGCGTCTGCATAATCGCTCTTTTTCCAGACAAACCAACAATATTCATTGAATTCATTATTTTCAATATTGATATTATCGCAGTGACTTGAAAAACCTTTTTCATTGGTTGAGGATTTTACAAAATTGAAAGTTACAAATGGTGTCATTGAGAAACCTTGGCTATAAAGTCAAACAAAGGTATCTCATTTTGGTTCGAAGGTTTTCAAAATCAAGATAAAACAACCTTCAAGTTGTTTACATTTATCCTCATTAAGAAAAGTTTTAGTTTTTAGGCATCTGTGGCGGTATTTTGAAATTTAATCAGTGATACATCCTACAATTGAGTGATTTTGTTACTAATTTTCAGTAATTGAATCCCTAAAGCTTAGAGTAATTCTAGTTAGTGTCAAAATGCCCTTAAAATTAGGAATGGCTTGCTGAAAATAAAGAATCATTTCCTAAAAACAAAAACTTTTTTGTCTGTGTTGCTAGGAACAACACTTATTACATCTCTGTTCTGCAATGACTGGGCTGACACCTACGGCTCCAGACCTGTTCAGTACATTGAAATCAGCCTCCTCACTGGATTCAGTTCCGTTCCATGACTGATCTGATCATCAACATTCTATCTGTAGTGTTGTGGCATCACTGGGACCTGCACTGGTTGAGGTGGAATTTGATTGAGATTGTTCACCAGTTCACCGGGAGCCAAATCTTTATCAGTAAAATAATCCTTATTGAATGGCCAAATACCAGTCTTTTTTAATTCATTTTTCGCTGAAGAGCTTACTGCAGCTACTTCAAAATCCTGGTCCAATAACTGTGGAAGTTCGCAGTGTGTTACCACTTCACCAATGTGATCATCCGTCCACTCTTTCACAACATTACCATATGCAATTAACAATGGTCTCATACAAGCGGCAGCCAACTGTTGCATTCGATTAGTAGTATGAGGCGACAGGGTAATGATAATCACACCATGCTCATTACTATCATCAATGACTGGGACATTCGAAGTGTGAATAGGAGCATTATCACAAGTTAATACTACAGGATTTTCCACAAATGCCCCAGAAAATTCGATAAATTTCTGAAATCAATAAAAAAAGGTCACGTACTATTCAACCTTTTTTACTGAATCTCAATAAACTGCTTACTGAAAATCCAAACATCAGGCTATATTCGTGTCTCCGACTGGATTCAGGGAACACAAACACAGGTCCTTTGGCAGAAATGCACAGTTCAAGAGTCACTAATTGTCTTCTTTCAGCTGCTGCCAGTATTCCTATTTGTTTTTTACTGTGGTTTTACTGTGGTGATACCACATTCGTCAACATTGAAAATTCGGCCAGCAGACAGATTATATTTTCCAAAATTGCTTCCTCTAATTTAGTGTAAAAAGGGATTACTACCTTGGTGAATGCTCGTGTTCGAACCTGAGAAGTAGGATAAGGTTTATAAGAGATAGTTGAGGATTTAGATGCAAAAATCCTCGGCGCCAGGCTGGGCCAGCTCTACCATGTGTAAATTTGTGGGAGATCTTGTTCCGGGCTGTCAAATCATGAGTAAGTTTATCTAAGCTTTTAGTTGACAGCCGATAGAATCGACTCTCCGCTATCAAGAAATAATGACAAAGCTCAACTTGCTGTAATTTCGTGAATGTTGGCACAAAGCGTCCTAACCCCGGGTAACAAACAAATGAGGATTGAGATCTGTGATACCAATGAGAAGAGAAAAAATTCAAAATAAATTAAATGATGAACCATTACTCACCTCGAAAATTCATTCGTAAAGTTATCGCTTTTTGGAATGTAAAATTTTTATTATTCCATGTTTGGTATGCCAGTTGAAGATCTGGATTTGCTTTGTAGATTTTAACCCTACGTTTGAGGGCGATGGCAGGCAACTTATAACATTTTGTATAATTGTTTTATACCCTACCACGTTTTCAACAATCCTTATGATTAAAAGAGCAAGGCTTTTGTCTTTTGTTTTCGATTTTCAGCTATCGAGAAAAAGTGAATCGATTTCGTTCTTCGATATGATAATCGATTTTTTGCGTATGAATCGGTCTCTCCAATGATTAAAAAAAAGAGCAAGGCTTTTTTATCATTTGCTTTCGATTTTCAGCTATCGAGACGAGAAAAAAGGGAATCGATTTGTTTCTTTGATGGTTATGATAATCGATTGCGCATTTCGATTGCGTACGTATTAATCGATTGTGATGTGATCACATAATTTTCCTTTTCACAAAAAAATCGAGACATCAGGTGAGGAAACAAACAGGACGCAGTGAGCATGTGATCGTGAGCATGTCACTGAGTGATGTTTCAATGCTTTCTTCGCCATCAATAAATTGATGGTATGCTTCCGAATGGTTTCAGCATAATAAATTTTTTTCTCTCGGATATTTCTCCCCATTTTTGCTACTTGCGTCTTTCTCGCCCCCCATCGAAACTCTTTCCAACCTCCTGTATTGCATTTGCTAAAGGTTGGAGGATACCCTAAGTTAGGGGAAAACCTGACCAGATAAAGTCGTCCCTTCCGTTACTCGTTATTGCGAGTATTTTTTCTAACGTCAAACTGGTATGCAGGCACGCATGAAAAAATTCACTAGAAAACCTAGCGAATTCGCTAGAAAATTCTATAGGAATTTTATGGGATTTCTATAGGATTTCTATTGGAATTCTATTGAAAAATTCTATTTGTTTTTT